TTAGGGACCTTTCCATTTTAAAATGAGGAAATCCAGGTATAAAATCCTGGGAAAAGGGTTGCATGCCATTCAGAACTGTCTTGAGAATGCCTTTACATTCCAATTTACTGTAAAGCAAAGAGAATGCAAACAGCATTTCAAATTTGAATTGAAATAAATTCACATTACTGTAATTTTTAAATAAAGGTTTGTCAAGACATATTTTAAAACTTGATAGAAAGATGTAATTATAGATACTTAGAGACAGACAGACAGACAGACAGAGACAGACAGACAGAGACAGACAGACAGACAGACAAATTCACCATTCAATATACAGTGAAGTCCATTTAGACTACAGTGAAGTCTAGATGTAGATGATCCTGCTATTGAAGCAAACTACTGGAAATCTGACTTCAGAAGGCATTCAATCGAAAGTCAAACTATGTATGCATTTCATGTGGTTTTTGCAGAATCAGACAACAAACAACTAAACAGACTTTAGTTGAATAAACAAAAAGAAACCATTTTTGCGGCCTGTCTGAACAAAGGCAAAGAAACCCATCTATATTCTCAGAGGGTCAGATTAAAGGCTTGTTATAGATGTCTCCTTTGTTCCCATGCAGTCTGGCCTGTGATTGCTCTCGCTCTCTCTTCTTCTCACTGTTTCCATGCTCTTTCAGAACTGAGAGGCTTGTGGAAATTGCTCCTGTGGGTACCGTTTCACTCTTCTACTGTTAGGTGTTAGTGCTGGAAACGGAGACAGTAACTGAGCTTGTTTAAAAGCACAGATGAAAAAAATGTTGAATAAACCTTTGCTTTACATTTGTATATTTCACAAAGCGACATGTGATTCATAAAGTACAAAAATGCTTTTATGTGAAGTGATTGCTAAAGTGTGTTTACACTGAATCAACTGTCTCAGTCCTGACTGGCACACTGCATCTTTTTGATGAAAGGTAAACTTTTTCTTCCTGCCAAACAAAATCAGTGGTTTCCATCTTATTGTTACCAATAACATCTGAGGAGCTGAATGAATATCACCCTAAGACTCTTAGCAGCTTGTCAGTAAACAACTGCAAGCATTTTCTAGCAAATCCACATTTGAATGAGCTAATCATTTGGCGCCACCAAGTGGAGGGTTAATGTAAGCTCAAGTGTAATTTTTTTTTATTTTTTTTTTTAAGTGTAATTCTTAAAGCGATAGTTCACCCAAGAATGAAGAGGCTGTCATCATTTACTAATCAATTTACAATTTACTAATCCTTGTTGCAAACAAGACGTTTTTTTGAAGAACGGTTTTTGTTAACACAGTGAAATCAGTGGGGTCCAAAACAACATTTGAACATTAAACATGTGTGTTACTTGAAATAAAATAATATGTTAACTGACAAAAACATAAAATATAAAAAAAATTTAACTTATTTTATTTCTGGTTTTTATTTAGTTTAACCTGATGTGAAGCTAAAACTGAAATAAAAACTATATGGATATATTTAAAATAATGAATAAATAACAAATAATAAAAATAAATAAATTAAATCTGAAAATACAAAATAAAAACTATTATAGTGCCTCAATGATGCTAAAATATCATCATGCAAAAATAAATAAATAAATAAATAATCTAAACAATACTACAGGAAAATGTTCAGAAGTAAAATTACTAAATTTGCTAATGATTCTCTGACAAAACCCAATCAAAATAATCTGAACAGCATGAGCCAATAAATTAAAATGTAAAGAGCCACAAACAGATGTCTGAACAAATAAAAAGTAAAAAGCTATCAATAAACAATAAAAATAAAATTTGTACAATTTATCCTGATCGCAGTGCATGCTGGGAACTCAAGTAGGCTTATAACATAATATACAATTTACATTATTAAAATCATTACAACTATCCCAACTACTCTGAATTTACTTGTGATTAAAGTAAAGAAAGAAATCAAGCTCAAACTTCTAAAACAAAGTAGAAATTTTAATAATTACCGGCAATAATTGTGGAAAGTCAAATGAGTGAAAAAAAAAAAACATGTCAATACAACAAAATGCAGAATATATACAATACATATTTAAACTCCCACGTTTAGTACTTCAATGGTGGGCTCAAAGTCAGCAGGGGATTTCATTAATTCTGCAGCTTACTTAATCACCACTTCCTGGTTAAAATGTTTCCTATGCACAACCACAAACCCCACTAGCCAGTGTTCACTTGTCTATTGAACACGCACAACCACAGGTGCATGTGCATATGCAACTGTGCAAATACTATTGTCAAGAAAGTAATTCAGAGAAACCATGCAAACACAAAATGCTGACTTATGCTAAGACGTTCACATTTATACTGAAACTCTCTGATGCACATCGTCAACATGAATAGAAGGGTCTGTGCTTTACAGACAGGAAACCCAACATGGGCTGCGTTTCTCAAAAGCATTGTGAGCTAAGCTGATCGTAGAGACCACTGGTGGCAATGATTCAAAGATCTATTAAAGGCAGGGTATGTGATTTTTCAAAAACACTTTAGAAAACTGATTCAGGCCGAATAGCAAAACAAACTTGTAGCCAATCAGCAATAAGGGGCGTGTCTACTCGTGATGTGGAGGAGAGAGCTTTCAGTGCATGGGACAGACATTAGCCGAGCCGAGCGACAGAAAGATAGAGATGGCGGATAAAAAACAAAAGAGGAAAACGTCTGCGGAACGACAAGGCAAGAAGTAGGACCCGTGTAAATATCGGATCAGCTTTCCAGCGCTGGAGAGAACTCAAGGAGCGGAGGCCTGCGATCGGACGCCGAGGTTGCTTTGTTTCTTCTCAATAGGTGAGTAACACCGTGTCTACAACAACTAAAGTCTGCCTACACTGGACGCGATCAAACAACCGTTGAAAACCATTTGAAATTTGTGTCAGCACGTCATAAATAGAACCCGGCAGCAGTTTTCTGTCGGGATTTGTTGCGCCGCGCCGCTCACGTCCGTAGACACGGTGTAATATTGGTTTTGCTTTGTTTCACAGAACTAATCGTTGCCTGGGTTGCGTACGTATATGTGGGGCGGAGCTATCAAAATAGGGGCAAGACCCTTTTGGGGTAGGGGCGTGTTTGTTTTGGTGATTTCAAATATCAACATTGGCTACCAGAAATCACTTACTCTGCCTTTAAGGCTTACAATGCTTTTGGGAAATGCAGCCAACACCACTGCTAAATGAACTAATCAATGTATTCGTGCATAAACATGACTGAGGAGTCCAAACTGCCAGGGCCTACTAACACAGCATCTGTAACACCTAAATAATTGACACAGGCTAATTTCTCAATTCCAATATTAAAAATATTAGCTCAGCCTTAAAACTGCAATATGTGTAAAATATTAAATATTAAATATTCGTGTCAGCTGATTGCCTTGACTCGAGAATCTGCTTTAAAAACTCTAGGTGGCACTGTATATTACGTATCTCCTTCCCTCAAATTAGTTTGGTATCAGTAAGATTTTTCTTTTTTTTTTTTTGCTTTTGTTTTTTTTTTAAGAAGATTCTTATGCTTATATATTTGATCAAAAATACATATTATTGCAATTTAAAATAACAGTTTTCTATTTTAATATACTTTAAAATATAATTTATTCCTGTGAAGAAAAGCTGAATTTTCAGCATCATTACTCCAGTCTTCAGTGTCACATGATCCTTCAGAAATCATTCTAATATGCTAATATTTATAATCAATGTTGGAAACAGTTGTGCTGCTTAATATTTTTTTGGGACCTGCAGTGATACTTTTTTCAGGATTCTTTGATAAATAAAATGTAAAAAAAAAAAAAAC